TTACTTATCATGCTTGTTACTTATAACACTGATTAATTTGAACACTTTTCTTCTTTGACTCTAAATGAATTGATAATTACGATATGATAACACTTTCTGATCAGCAAAGCAGTAAATAAGCATTGTTAAAATATAAACACCCTGGACCCTCCCTGATGGCACAACGGGCTGGGACGCAGCACTGCAGGCTGGCCACAGCCACTTCAGTGCGAGTTTGATCCCCGGCCGGCCCCAGAGCTGACCCACATGGCTTGGCAGATCTCTCCTGACCTGCCTGCTGCTCCCCTCAGCCATGTACATTGTCCATCTGCCTGTTCTGCTCCCCACTGTGTCTCGAGTGAAGCCCCTGCACCTCTGGGCTAATACCCCAGCTCTATTTGAATAAATCTCAAAAAAAAAAAATAGACAAAATAGGAATTCCTATACTATTACCATATATAACCACTGCTTTTCTGTGCCAAGTATTATTTTTCAGGACTTTCTCTTTACACATTTTTTCATTCATTATTTTCATTTCATTAAATTCTACCAAAAAACCATGGATACCTCACTTCTAAAATCTGCTTAATATTTGTTATGAAAACTCATAACTTACCTCACCTCTAAATATACATTTACATTCTTTCTCCCTCTCTTTCCTGCCATATCCCTCCTTTCCTCTCCATCTCATTAACTGTGTCTTCTCATTCCTTAGGATAAATTTCTGAGGGTGAAATGATTCTATAAAGTGCATTATTAACAGTGTCTGCTGATATTTTTTACTTATTTATTTTTTTAATTATAGATATGTAGTTTACATCTTTCTTCATTTGTGTGCTGATATTTTCATGAAACAAACTTTCATTTCATATATGTATTTGTAGGGAAGTCTCCCTACAAATACTATTCTAAGCTCTCAAAAAATAAATAAAATGAAACAAACTACCATACAATCACCTAGCACATACAATTCTAACGCTTAATCTCACATCAAGAATACCAGTCTCATTAGCCACCCTGAACACACAATACCTCATATTCGGGAATATGAAGATAGGAACACAGCCATGGGGTTCAGTGACAATGGGGTGTTATGCATGACACTTGAAAAGCACTCAGTGAATATCCAACCTTTCCGTATACTCACTAAGTCATAGGGACGGAGAAGAGATCATATTGGATCTAGGAAGAAACACCCAACTAATCATCAAACAAAAAAGGGTAAAGACTAGACTGCCCTGTTTTTGCAGCACTATTAGCTAAAGAAGAACAGAGGGAAAGAACAATAACAGATGTAACCGGACAATTGAGAACTTAATAAGACACAGGATTGGCTCATCAAATTTACCCTAAGCATCAATTTTTTTATCTCCTCCATCTCTCATGAACCCTTTTTCTCTCCTCTGGAATAAAAATTCCTAGCTTCTAGAATAATATTTTGCAATTTTTAGCTTAAATAATCGGCAGTTGAAAATGCATCCCTGTAATTATAATTACAACTAATAGACCTGCCATTTCCCATGTCATAATTAATGTCAGGTTTTATTAGAGTATAATCATGCTACCTTTTTACTTACAAAGCTTCTTTTATTGTCACAACATTATGTTATATCAAATTAAACAATAAAGAGTTCTAGAGGCCTTCTGAAAGGATAACTTTAGTATCATAGATGCCAGGTAGGCTGACGACACAGGATTTTTTCCAATGTCTTTTAATCACTTAAAATAATATCTAATGTGCTAGTAAGTAGATGAAATACCAGTGGTTTAGTGATGATACATTAGATTTCCTAAAAAAGGTTATTTAATATGCTCTTACAGCAAGGACCCAAGAAGTAGTGACAATATCTAGAAATCATACCTTTTGATTAAGCATCATAGTGTCCACAATTTAGTGTTCAGTAAATACATTTTTATAATCACAGATTGATATTTAATAGTTATATTGTTACTACAGTAAATACAGTAAAGCATTATAGCTTTACTATTTAGCTACTGGTAGTACTTAAATCAGAATTCAAAGGTGCTGTATAACTTTCAAATCTGAGTAATTTAGAGGGGAGAAAAATAACACAAAATTAACATGTCTCAAATTCTAAATAAAATTTCTAGCAAGTCATGTACAAAATACATGGTTTATCTTTGAAATGGGATCCCAAACAGCTATGGACTGAAAAAAGGTCCCTCACAGTTCACTGCTGAAGATGATGCCAAAGATGATGGAATTTGGAAGTGGTATTATGGTGGCCTATGGTATTAGATGAGGTTTTGAGAATGGGGATCCCATGATGGCAGCCATGTCCTACAAGGGAGAGAAACCAGAGGGCTCTATCTTTCACCCAACCATGTGAGAACAGAGTGAGAAAATGGCGTTTACAGCCAGGAGGACCTGCTCAGTGTACTTGGACCATGCAACTGTGAGAAACGCACCTGTATTGAATCCCCAGTTGATGGTACTTTATTATAGCAGACTGTGCTAAGACATGGACTACATATTTTTTAAAAAACTTATTTCTTTATGCATACAAAACTGGGGTACAGGCCAGAGGGGCAGAAGAGGTGAGAGGATTCATCAGAGACTGAGCGGGGAGCAGAATAGGCAGATGGACAAAGTACACTGCTGAGGGGAGCAGCAGGCAAGACAGGAGAGGTCTGCTGCACCATATGTGGGTTACCTCCCTGGCCAGGGATTGAACTCGTACTGAAGTGGCTGCAGATCGCTTTGCAGTGCTGCACTTTAACCCTTTGCACCACCAGGGAGAACCTTATATTTTTTATTTTATAAATGACGCAAGTTGTGCTTTTGAGGTCAGACAGTGCTTTTGAGGTCAGATAGTGAATGACCTCTGAAATTATCATATAAAATGCACAAAAATTGCAATGAAATTGTACAGCACTAGCTCCTATGTTTTGCCTTTTGTTTTACATATATATGTATGTATAATTGCATATAAAAAACAATTTTCTATCCTCAGTAGAGCTGATGGAAAACTCAGCAGTTATTCTCAGACAAGCAATAGTTGCTTCAGATATGTGTGTATGTGTCTGTGTATATATAAATAAATAGAGAAGCCACAAAATCAAGAAGACATTTTCAATGCTAACCTTTCTAAGATTCTACATATACAAATATTTCTAGAATACACAAAGAATTTTTTTTTTAATTTCATGCTCTATAAATCCTTTCAAAGCAATTATTTAGGCTGTTTGTTTGATTTCCTTATACTATTTCTTGAAATCATGGTGAGTTCAAAAATCAGTTTAACAAACTGAAATGTAGGTTAGAGAATAAGGATCATATCACTGAGAAGTATTTGAAAATTACAGAAAAAAAAGAATTCTATCTATATGTAATAAAGTCCCATTATACTGCAGGCTTCTTAATTACAGGCATAAACTATGGACGCATATAAAAAGCTCTAAACTGAAAATACTGCAGCCCATTTCTGAATGTACCAAGCCTCCAAATTCAAGTCCTGAGGCAAGCATTCAAATAAAAATCTTCACATCACACATTCCAATTTTAAATTTATAATCCAGCCAATGGAACTTTAACATATATGCTATTTCCTCTCTCCTTCTATGAAAATATACCATTATGACAATGTGGAATGCAGGTATCAGATTTAGCATTTGGAAAAATTTCTAAGATCAGCAGTGGAGAGATGGTGTGGAGCAGCTTCCCATCCTTGCTCTCCGGCTTTCCCTCTTCTTACCTTTCCTCAGCTCCACACTATGCTAAACCATGGAGGGCCTCATAGACAAACGAGTGGTCACATTTAAACTCCATCCTCATGCTCCCACAAACAGCTGCCATTAGAACACCTCTTTGAACCTTGTAGTAACATAGGCACAGTGTTCTCTGCCTTCAGAAAAGTAAGTCTGGGATGAACCCACTCACTCCCTGAAAATGGACTCAAGGTCTGGGAAGCAGGTTATTCATGAATTCTGGGTAGTCCGTATACTTTCCAGAAGGGCAGTCATGGTCTCCAAGTGGGCAGTTCCTTTTAGTCCTGAGTCCTCTCACACAGTGAGGAAAAAAAAAAAAGTTTGCCCTGAGGGAACTTCTTTGGAGAGTTTCCTCCTGCCAAGTTTTAAGTGTAGTTCATGATAAATCAGGTAATTTTAAAGAAGGTGAAAACTCAAACCTGGAGACAAATTTTTTTCTTCAAGTAGAACTGACAAAAAAACTCTGAGCAGTTATTCTTAAAGAAGCAATAGTTCCATCATAAAGAACATTTACCACTTAATATTCAGAAAATAAAAGGAAAATACATTGTTTTCAAATATCTCCATGTCTATAATCATCTATTTACCAGCTACAAAAATATTAACAGTACATTAGCTTTGATTTCATACTTTTTTTTTTTTCCCCAGAAACTAAGCACCAGTGAGTTAAGTAATTATTTTAGGGTCTCAAGGCAAACTTGGTAGTAACATTTGGAACCAATTATGATTAAGCGCTCCTTGCAGCTCTCCTCACCTTCACACAGACCTTTGTGCAGTGTTTCCGGCTTAGTGAGACTGAAGCTGAAGTCTATGAATAAACCACATATCTGCATTTTTTTTTGCTACTCCTCTATTAAAATGTAAGAATCCTTATTTTCTGACCTTTGGAATCTTGATATCTATAAAGGGAGTCAAAGTTATAAGCAATAAGTGGTCCAGTACAGCATATAACTTTCTATAGACTTTGCTATTAAGTAGTACTGACATAGCAAAAGGAAAGAAAGCACATAACCTAGAAAAGATTACAAAATTATTCTCTTGGAGGAGCATGCCCATGATTTTCCAAATTTCACTTGGCACTACTTTCATTTTTAGACATTATTTCAAACAACTGGCTCTTAAAAAAATGGCTTGAGTCTAACCCCTCACCTATAGCAAAAGATTCTAATTAGGAATTCAATCAAAGATTCCACCAAGAAATGGTCATGAACCACTCAATCCGATGTCAATACTGATCACGTTGACAAGCAAATGAGATATTTTAAATGTAACTCCATAAAGCATGCACCCACCTGAATCATATGCAAAATCTCTGGGTTCTTGTTTAATCATCAGAGGAGTGGGGAAGCTTTGACTGGCCGCACCACCAACCATGGTGTTGTGTTCATACACTGGGTCATGGTACTCCTGCTTAAAGCCTTGAGGTGGAAAGGGGATGTTTGGTTCAGACATCTGCCGTTGATACATAGGACGTCCTTCCCTCGGCATTGTGGGCAAAGGAGGAAAGGAATTACAGGGTTCAGAAAGCTGGCGGCGAAATCTGGGAAGAAGAGTATGAGTTTCAAATGAAATGGTAATAAGGCCACTGCTAAATTTGACTGGTTTAAAAACACACAGAAGACAAAAAGAAAGAAATGGCAGTGAGGAGTACTCTTTAAAATTCTGCTCTAATTTGTAACTGCCTAATTAATGAACATGACAGCAACTGCATTGAAATATACACCTCTAACAAAGACTAGGTCTCTCTGTTGTGGGTCAGTAGTATTGTGCTTTCCTCAAATCACAATGTGATCTGTGTACCTCTTCTATTTAATTAGTTTCTCCCAACACCATTTTCATGATTTTAGTAGGGATAAGAGAAGAACACCTTATGGAACTGTATATGCCCTCACAGCTAAAATGTCCTATTCTAAATCAATTATGTAACTTGCCAAATTTCTACAGTAGGGTCTCAAATAATGGCATGCAGGAAAGAAAACAGAGATAATAAAGACTGTGATCTCAAATGCATCCCCTTTTAACCTGTTAGCAAACTAATAAACAAAAAATAAAAAATAAGGAGCCAAATAAAAAATCTACATGTAGGTTTTCCCTCCCTATCATCAGCTATGAGAAGGAAAAGAAGAACAACTCTCTTCTCAAATGGGCAGGGGGTCCTCAATCCTCAATGACATTCTAAATAACTTTACTTTCTAATGAGAAAGAAAACTGGAAAAGAAATCAAAATCCAAGTTGGTCTTTTAAAGAATGCCTCTTTATTGTCAAGCAAAAATAGAGCATATTGGCTTCCCAAAACTTCAAATAAATATCAGGTTGATTTTAAATGTAAACATAGAATAAACAGCAGATATCCAAAGATGAAAATAACTTGTTTTATGTAGTAGGTAGATTTGCAGCGAGGTCATGAGGAAGTTCTGAGGCTTTGGTAGAAAGCCTTCCTTCTCGGTAATCCCATGTAATGATTGGCCAATAACAAAACCATTCAGTTCTGTGTTTCTTATCCATAACCTCACTGATGAAACCACAAGCTGTATTAATTAAAGATTTAAAAGTGCTCTAAAAATGCCCCAAGCATGCTTAAAAATAGTCCATCCAATAATTTTTGTGAGTAAATAAAGCCTCTGAACTCCTCTCTGCTCCAATCCTTGCCACCCCCATTAAAATTGCTCCTGAGACTTTAATTTGGAAGCTTAATATTAATTTTGGTAACATCAAATAAAAATAAGGTAGAGGCTTAAGAATGGCTAAGCAATTGGCTTAGCATTTCCAAGAACACTCCATCCTGTGATTTAACTCTAGGCTCACTGGCTGCATAGAAAGCACTGAAATTCACCTACACCTGCAGAAAATAAACTTAGAAACTCAGATATTGCAAAACAGTGAGGCTGACTGGCACTGCATTCATTTCCCTTCTCTTGCTTATTTCATTAGCCAAAAAAAGAAACAGAAATTATCATTAAGAACTGTCAAGGAGTGAATCAGAAAATTGTAACTTGAAGTTAAAATAAGAAACCAACTCACTTGTGAAGCCTTAAAAGGAAGTTAATAATACTTATACGAAGAGCTTTGTAAGGAATCAAGCCATTTGTTTTTACGAGCCAAACTGATGGCAGTTGGGACTTGCTGGGGACCATGTATACATCAAACACACAGCTTCAGAGGAAGCTGCACATTTGTGATGCCATTTTTACGCACTATTGACTCATGGTAAAGAGGTGACTTGAGAAGCTTCTGGAAGAGAAGAGAATGGGCAAGGAGAATATTCTGAAGATTTCTTTGATTAAAAGCAAGGCATAAGTAGCAGGGAACATGGAGAAAAAGAGACCAGGACTCCTGCAGAGTGGGATCAGGAAAAGTGCCAAAGGCCTGAGCTGAGGGCGGTGAGCCTGAGGAAAGGAAGCAGGGCGCAGCCCAGTTGGCCACGAAGCATTCCCAGAGTGACGTGGGGTGCCCAGGCTGGAGGGGGCTATTTGGGGAAAGGATCTGTTACCAGAGCAAATTTTTCCATTTATAACTGAGGGACTGTCATTTGTTAGCCAGAGCCCTCCAAGAAATCCTCCTCAGAAACATACGGCTTCAGAGATTTTCCTGGGATTGGCCAGCTGGTACTGTACTCAAAACCCAGTGGGGGGCAGTGGGAAAAGACCCTGAGCTTCCCTCTTCGAGTTCCGGGCCGGCTGTTCTCAGTCTCAGATATTTGACTTCAAGTAGAGAAACTAAAATGGATTTGGCTAAAGCATTTCAAGTTAGGTCACCTAAATCAGGCATCCTGCTTGGTCAGCAGTCCCTTTCCATAAGAAATAATTCCACAAAAAGCCACTACACAATCCATCGTTCTGGCAATTATTTGAAGTGTCAGAGGCTTAGCTATTATGAACTCTGGGAAGTAACCAAAAGAAGACAAAATAAAAGACGCTTTTTCTATAACTGTTTTTGCTTGTAGCGCAACACAATGTGCATCTGTTCAATGGCCACCCTGCAGTAAGATATCTTTCATCTGTATTTACAAAACTGTTTACACAGATGCACATACCAGTGCGTCCTGACAAGGTCTCATGTCTACGGAGTGAGAAGGGGAAGAGAGTGGGAAGCATTTAATGACTAATGTGTAAGAGGATTCAGTGATGGAAACAAAGAAGAAAATGCAATTTACTGTCACACTGGAAAAAAATGTTTTCACCTAATCCCTTCAGTGGAAAAGTTACCAAAGTTGAGACTGCGCCCATGAGGTAACCTATGACAGTGGATTTGAGACACCCTTATTTTGAGAAAGTTAACCAATGGCACATTCTCTGGTCCCTTGCTGATTTCTAGGAGGGCAATTGGTGCCTGTATTCCTGTGTATCAGAGCTTATTTGTGCTGGTTTATATAAAGTTGCTGGAGCTTTGTGAGCCAAATGTTAAAACAGTTCCCGTGAAGTATTAAATTAAGTCAATTTATAATATTCTAAATTATATTCAAAAGAAAGACAATAAAACCTCAAAACTCATCATTTCCCAATTACTGTATTTTATTACTAATTATCCTTTTGAGGTTGTTTATGACCATTATTGCTTCAGGGTAAAAATACTGTGTAATGGCATGTTGTTACACTTTCCTTTCCAATTTCTCATTCAGGGTTATCACACTGCTAACTTGAGGTCAACCAGAGGGGTATGTGAGGAGTATTGACATCACAAACTCATCCAGTGCTCCAGATCTTTGTTGTTTCTCCCACAGAACGTATAGTTAAGAATTTGTCAGCAAAGAAAGCAGAGGAACGAAAGGATGCTATACATAAAATCTACTTGTGGTTTAGCTTGTACTATTATTTTTCTTAAATATATTTTTTTTCCAGCTCTAGGAATCAAACTTTCTAACCACAGTAGTCTCTCTTTCTAACCAATACTAATTTAAGTATTTTCTAACTAATAATAATTTAAGTCTTTATTTCTTTCACTGTACAGTCTCAGTTTCCAGGGTCATGCACCTACTAACATTAAATATTTATCACTTGGGAAGGATGGAAAATTTTTATCAAAGAGGACCTATTTTGCCAAACTATGTACAAATAAGCCATTCAATCTAAATTAGAGAACCTAATTCCTAAGCCACCTTCTAAAATTAGTCTCCTAACGTTCTAGAACAAGTACACATATGCTCATAAAAATGAGATGATCTGATTTAAAGTTTAAGTGAAGCAATTTAATTCAAGCAAAGCGAGGGAAATGTTCAAATGTCAGTAGATAAATTAATTGTCCAATTTAGCAACCAATTTAAATGTTTACAAAAGCAATGTTTGTTTATACAAGACATTTTTCCACAAAGTATTCATAACTATAAAGCAAGCTCTTTCTAAAAATATTTCTTTTGCCCAGAAGAGCAACATTAATAAGCTCACTTTAAATCTACTATGGATCTTAGGAATTTCTTGCACAAATTGTTAAAAAAAAGGTATTTGCCATTTACCTGTGGTCCATGGGGTAGCTGCTGTCTTGTATGGACTGCGATGTGGGGAGGTGAGCTGGAAAGGCGCGGTCAGGTTTCGGCGTGTGAGTTGAGTTGGGGGATGCATGATGTAGTGGGGACACTGGAGTGCTGGACGGGGTTGGGGGGCTGGAGGGCCTCATTCCCACTTGTGGCTTCTGATCATAGGCACTACCCAGGGAACCAAAAAGAGGACAACATTTGCTGCTTGAGAGCAAATAAAAAAAAAAAATTCAAACCCATAATTAAATTAGAATGTTGTTATTATTATTTTTATTATTTGCTTAATTTGCTTATGTCCTTCCAGGACACATAATCTTCAAAATCATCACATTTATAGACAGAAATTAGGAAATGAATATCTTACCTAAAAGGCATGGATAGAAAATGCTTACTTATTTATTTATTTGCTTTTTACAGTTGTATGCATTTGTATAGTTACATTTACTTTTTGCAGATGTTAGGATTCATAATTCCAAGAGGTAAAATCATCATCTTAGGGCAATATTTCATCCCTCAGACACACAGAATTGGAAACTACAAAGTGAATTGTAAATATTCATAAAATGCTTATTTTAAGGGATATGCAAACAACTTAAAATAAGGAAAACACTGAAATTCCACCAATGAAAACTGGCATAATTTCCATCTATTCTTGATACATCTCCTTGTGCAAGTTTGATATAGCTCTTCTAAATCATTAAGTATTTCTCATATTATAATTCAACTACACTATAAAAAACTTTTGAGCAAGAATTAACATACTTTAATAAGGAAACAATATCTGACTTGCATTTATTTGTGGTAAATTTTTAAAAACTAATGCCTTTGCTTATTTTCATTCTTTTTATGTAAAATAAATGATGCTTGGCATTAACTTCCTCACATGGGATAATAAAGATTAATGAGGCAAATTTAAATGTCGATGATATATTAAAACTTTCTTGGAATATAAGAATAGGTAAAAACAATGCTAAAGGGAAGATCTTATTATCATTTTCTAACTTTTAAATACAACCACAAAAGAATAAAATATATAACATAGTAACTTTGTAATATAAACACTAAGAGTTGTTTCTGTGGCTTAATTTCAGGAATGTGACAATTTTTACCATCTAAAACATTATTTTCTTATAAATAAATCTGTTACATTCCAAACAAAAAAGTGAATTATAGCTTAAAAAACTTATTTCTAATTAAAAAATCCACCAATACATAATTTTCTTTAAAAAGGAAACACTTTTTACATTGGTTTATGTAATAATTTATTCCATGGCTGTAGCTATACATTATAGAATTTCATCAAAGTGAAAAATAACAGAAATATATGCTCTACTTTAATGTAAAGTCATATAGTATATTTGGATCTACTTATTTTCTTTAATGTTATTAGTGAATGAGATCACACTTTTATAAAATGGTTCACCTGTCTTGTTCCCATATAAAAAGAAAACAGAGGGCATTATTTTTCCCATATTGTATGTGTGTATTTTTTAATATGGCATAGAAGTTCCAAATTTAATTCATAAATCATTGTAGGAATTATTAGAATCCATGAAGAACCTCAAAGTATTCAGGCAAATACTTTACTGTTAAGTTATATACATCAGATATGTTATATAAAGCAGTAGTTATTTTGTAGTCGATCTTCCAGTGAAAACTGAGATGCTACAACCATTCTGTATTTGCCTCATTAATTAAAATGTTTTAATATTTTAAATAATTATCTTGTGATTATATAATATTCTCTTCAGGAGAACATGGAAAAATTAAAAGTACTATAAAATAAAACTATTGATCAATATTGTCTTGTCTGAATTCAGTATGCTTTAATAGCTTTTACAAAAGATCATTTTTTTAAACAGTGAGCTGACTCATAATTTCAGGCTCTGGTAAACCTCCTGGAAAAGAAGATATAAAAGGTATGTTTGCTAGTATAAATAGTAATAAAATATCCAAGCATTGATCATCTGCCATGAGACTACACAAATCTGTCTTGAACTTAATATTTATCTTGAACATAAACAGTATATGTAATAAACATATGGTGATACAGGAGATTCTGTCAGATCATATAATTTTAACTGGTGTAAATTACAAAACCACAAATATTTGTGATTATTTTTGTAACTTTCCAAATTCCTTTTAAGAACTAATTTTCTAGAGCAACTGAGAATTATATTATACAGAGCCAACTCCTTCCTTATGCATTTAGAGACCAATATGAATGAAAAGTAACAGAATGCAATTTACTATGAAGGGTTTTTAATGAACATATATGTTATCAAATTTTCGAACAAATGAACAATGTACTTTTACTACTCCACCCTTTATTATCATCAAGAGGAAGAACTGGCTTTTTAATAGATAATAGCCTTGGCTAAGCCTTATAAAATTCTAACTTTATTGCAACTGTCCATGAATGCATCTTATAGATCATTTGCAATGTCTGTCAGATAATTAATGTACTGCTTAGACCTGCCAAATGTTTCATTTTTTTCCTATGAACTCCATCTAAAGTGCATAATGCACTCATTCTAATGAGAACTTTCAATAGCTGCTCATGCCAACAAAGACCCTCTTTTCAAACCCAAGATGTATCACTAAAGTAGAAAAGCTACTAATGATTGCAATGAAAATTATTGCTTTAAAATGATTCTAAAAGTGTGTGATCAGACAGTAAACGGTTCTTCAGAGTTTGGCTAAATGCATTATCTAATTAGCTCACTGGCTGCTGAAGATGGAACTCACAAAACATGACTTGAGATTATATATAATTCTGATACTTTTTGTTTCAGTAAGAACCACCATTCTCTACATATACATGACTAACGGCTTTACCTGACATTATACAGGCACTTTTCTCCATAGCTGAATTTAAAGGGTTGTTCTTGACTGCAGGCAGAGCTGAGTTCTGAACATGGGCTGTGGGGTTCTTTCTTGATTTTCAGTGGTAGGCCATGAAAAGCCACTAGAAAACAAAACAAAAATACCCACAAAAGTGAAATAAAGTTAGGAATTCAGTATGTTAATCTATTCTATTTCTCTGGTTAAAGTTTCATTAGTACTTCATATGAATTTACACATGAGAAAAATCACACAAGAAAAAATTCTGGAGAATTTCAGCATATTCCTTTCTGCTTTTATTATGTAGCCAAATGCACACTTACACTCTCTGATTACTTAAACTTGTAATTTGCTTTGCTATATTAACAAACCCCCCAAACTAAGTTTTACGAAGTTTGAAATTTTTTCAGAATGATTTCCAATAAGTTAAAGAAGAAAATATTAAAGCCTAAATAGACGGAGAATATTGCAAATGCACCAATAGTAAATTACATCAAGAATGGCAACTGGACCATGGGAAAGAAAATCAGTAGTAACTGATGACTCTTTAGATTTCTGCACAATTTTTATTTTTAATTCTACATCTTTTGAGGCCAATGGTTATTTATAAAAGAGTTAAATGTACCTGTCTTCTACTACTACCATAAGTATGACTGAAATGTAATAAATATGTTGAGGGTATAGGTCACAAGTACTCTACCATTAAAAAAAAAATTCTATATCAAATGATGTTTTCTCCTTTTCTATACCCATTAATTCTTAATACATTACAAAGATCATATAAAAGGGAAGAAATATGTATGGCTGAGGATTCATAACATAGAAACTATTAAGAGTAAAATAGTATGTCTCGACTATTCCATAAAAGTCTTGAATATGTGGAATCTAGAGAAACAGAAGAAAGAGTCAGATAAAATCAAACTGAAAAAACCTGAGAAGTGTAACTGTAGAATTGAGGCTACCAGAGGAGGGTGGGGAATATAACACACCATGGTGGGGGACTTTCAGTGCCTTGGTGGTAGGGAGTGGTATGCTGTATAACATATGCCTTAGGGTGTGATCCTATACCTCTAAGTCACATATAATATTTCTAATTAGTTAGCTCAAAAACAAATAATTCAGTATTCAAAAAATAAATTAAGTATAATTAAATAGTTTAGGAGAAAAGATACACTGAGATTAGTCAAATTAGAAAAATTTGATGATGTTAAAAGTTGACTGATGTGTAGATGGGATTCCATTATATTAGTCTCTTCACTTTTACCTAAGTCCTGTATTTGTATGATGAAAATTTTAAAAATGCAGGGAGAACCACACAAGGGTTTTAAAGAGATATTATAAAAGAAAATCCTGTGTGTGTGTACTGAAGCACTACTTGTTATGGCATGATGCATCCTTTAATCATATGTGTTGTTTTCTTAAAAAACTTTTTCTGTAAGCCAGAAAGAGAAAGAAAAATACCGGATGGTTTCACTCATAGCAGGATTATAATGGACCAGGCGAGAAAATAACAAAAATAATGAACAACCATAGACCAGAGACATTCTGTGGGGGTGGAGTGGGGAATGGGATCAAAAATGGGGGGGGGGGGAAGGGAGGGAAATGCACGGGACTATGGTGGTGGCACAGGGGTGATTTGGTGATGGGAAACCCGTGGGGATTAAAATAGAAATGGTGAAAAAAAATGTGCAAAATGATGTAAAAATAAACTTTTTAATAAAAAAAATATATACATACATATATTAAATTTGTAAAAAAAAAAACAAAAAAACTTTTTCTGTCTATTTATTACTTTGAACATACACAACAAAAGGTGCATACCTGAGTTTAAACACTTTGAATAAACACTGGGTCTTACATTTTCCAATGAAAAACCAGCATCATCATGCTGAAGAAACTCATTTTGTCATTCAAAGAAAGAAATCATTACACCTGAGTGTTCAGATCTTATTTATATGAATAAAATTATTAAGATCTCAAAAGCTAGGGCCCTCCCTGGTGGTACAATGGATTAGGACACAGCACTGCAAGCTAGCCACAGCTGCTTCATGCGAGTTTGATCCTCCGCCTGGGAGGTGATCCACATGGTGCGTAAGACCTCTCTCTTGTTTCACCCGCTGCTCCCCTCAGCAGTGTATTTCATTGAACGGTCTGTTCTGCTTCCCACTCTGTCCCTACTGAAGCTTCTCACTACCCTTGCACCTCTGACCTGTACCCTAGCTCTGAATGCATAAATAAACCTTTAAAAAAAGTCTCAAAAGCTAACAAAATGCAATATGATGCAAAGTGAGTGTGCAGTATGATTATTTATCAAATATCAGGCATGTTGGAGACTACTGTGTTTGCTATTACTCTATTTTAAGTCTTTGGTACCATAAGGTAAGAAAAGATTAGTAATCAGGATATAAAAATAACTAACCCTATGAGGAAAGATTCTACAAATTAGGCTTCTTTAAAATTGAAATTTTTCTTCATCAAAAGATGCTACTAAAAGAGTAAAAGTGAGCTACACTGAAGATGTTTAAAATAGAATTGACAAAGACTTCAAATTTAACATTACAAGAATTACTACAAAATTAATGAGATAGAATCAATGACCCAATGAAAAATGGGCAAATGGCTTAAACAGGAAATTCAGAGAGTGGCTATGTAAATGGCAAAACAAATGAAGGAAGAACAACGAAATATGTATGAGAAGGTAGTCAACATCTTGATGCTTCAAGACAATAATGCAAATAAAACCACATGAGGTTATTACTATACTCCACAACATTGGTTTAACTGCAATACATTGGTATTACCAAGTTTTTAAGTAGAACAGTATAACAAGAACTTTTGTATATGCTGCTTAGAGTATAAATTGATTTAAATATTTTGGCAGTATCTGCTAAGGTTCACATTAATAAATGTACCTTTTATAGATCCAACAATTATACTTTTAGGTGTAACTCCAACAGAAAGTATCACATATGCTCACACACACACACACACACACACACACACACACACACACACACAAACCAGTAAGTAAAAGAATGTTCATGGTAGCTTTACATATGGTCAAACTGAAAATTCTATTGTTCATCAACAATGGATAAATTGCAGAATATTCACACAATGAAACGTTACAGAAGAATAACAAGGAACATATTACTGATATATGCAAAAACATAGTTCTCATACTGAGTAAAAGAAACCAAGCAAAAAAGGGGGTATCATACCTGAAGCTCACCACTAGACTAGACTAATCCATAAAGTTCAAGGATCCTTTATTGTTGTTGTTGTTGGATGTCAGTGTTACTGAGTGGAAAAGGGCTCTAGTAATAATATACAGTGCTGAAAAAACTTCTATCTTCCTCTTAGTTGTGCTTATATAACTAGATATGTAAAGTTCATCAATAGGTCCACTGAATGCTTTGCATTATAATGGCTGCATGCCTCGAGAAAGTTAACAAATGTGAAGAGTATTAAGCAATGCTTAATGCTTATATTTAAACATGCCAGGCCTCCTGAGTTATCTGAGAATGCACTTTAATTTCATAGGAGAAATTATTCCAAGTGAGTCAGGGGAGACATGGCACATCTGGCATATCATGAGGAACGCTTTCTAGCATGATGAAACCCACCTAATATTATAAATACCAGAAGCCAGGGGCATGATCCACCATGGGGGATCCACTGTTTTGAGCCCTAGCACTTTAGACTGACTCCCATGAACTTGCTAAAGTGACTCTGGAAGGAAAGACATAAGGATTCACCAAGTGCTATCAGAGGCAAGTTGATTCTGAACACAGGATTTTCAAATCTATCCCATCAGTCTGTTACCCAGAAGCATTTGAGAAAATGAGGATTCCCACACTCCATACGTCGTG